GGACCATATGTTATAGAAAAATAACTCACGCTGTTGTAGTGTTAAAGGCCAGAAATGGTGAAACCTGTTCCGCAAACATTGATCAAATAAAACCCTACTTGATCGTAATAAAATGCAAATCTTTTCAGATCTTTTGCAGGATCCGGTACGGCAGACACCGCAGGTACAAGTTCCAGAGGTGGGAAAACGACAAGTACAAGGGCAAGCCAATGAGAGACAGGAGCAAGTGAAAAGAAAAAGAAATTCCCCCCCGGAAAAATTGAAGGTACAAAGAAAAAGAAGCCGTTCCACCGTCCAGAAAAAGAGTCACGAACACCCCCAGAATGAAGAAGGGAGAAGGACGACGTATGTGAAAGGAACCAAGGAGAAATGATGGCAACTATAACCCGGCTCTTAAAACGGAAGATTGACTCATCCGACAGGGACTCTCCGCAGCAAAAGTCGCCGAACTGCGGAAGGGCCATCAGCGGCGGAGGAAAAAGTACAAGAAAAATTTGAACGGCCAACAACGAGGTCCAAGCAGGATCACGACAGAAGTTTTCCCGGTTCCACCAAGACCAGCTGCCTTCAAACGGCCAAGACCACAAGCAGAGGACAGAAAAGGAAGGTGTTCAAGGTGGCCGTAACTGGTGAAAAACGGAAGCTTCCAGAGGAAGCACTGAAGGGCGAGCCCGTACAAGAAGGAGGATAACCAAAGCTACGAGTCTGCAGCACCTTTAAAGACTGGGCCCAGAAAGGATGTCCGAATATTACAAAGATAAGTAAAATTTTATGTTACTTTGCAAACTTAAGTTAATCTTTCATTCTTACTGCAAGTGGCAGATTTCAAGAAGTTTTACCTCATGCGAGGTCTACCTTTATCGCCAAAGGGCGAGAAATGAGTTGTGACCGATTTTCTTATTATGTTTTTCAATTACTCGCGCGTAAAAACTAAAGTTGATGTATAATAGCGTTGTGTAAAGACTTAAATATTGTAAAAAGTTATTGTATAAATTTTATTTAAAACATTCTAGGCAAGAAAGAAGTTTTAGTCTGAAAGACTTTTGAAATGTAGTATTATTTCAATGTAGAAAGAATTGGCACTTGCTTTGAAAAGAATAGAAGTTAACAATGTACTACTAATGTATGTTTTCAAATGTGTAAAATTAACGGCATGTTGATATGTTCTTATATACAATGTGAACTGTTATTTTAATGTTAAGAAATACCGTGATATGGTAAAAGTGAAAGTAATGTTAAAAATTTTGTTATTCGTGTGACGTGTAAAAAAGATTAAATCATGGTGAATATGTGTTAAAGGTTGAATGATGTAGTTAGGCTCTCTGACGCTACACTTTAGAGTTAGCCACTTTCAGAATAGTACCTCAGGGTTTAGAGTTGAAATTAGGGTGTGTTAAGAGGTCTCGTTATGTTGAATTTTAACACGTTAGTGTTTTGATTGTAGGAGGAAGTGTTGAACACGTAGACAGAAACACATTCGTGTTTGGTGTTTCTTTACAACACATGTCAGAGAGCACGGGGAGAGATAATTAAAATAGTCATGAATGAAATAAGAATGTTAAGAGAATATATTCTATAATGTTATTGCAATGTTCATTCTGTAACATTTCATTAAACTAGTTTTCCTTCAGATCTCTGGAAGGAACCAGATTGAATAAAGCTCCTGTTTTGATGCAGTACAGATGAAAAAGAAAAGATTGTTGTATAAAAGCTTATGTTTAGAGTTTCTAGGAGAAAGTAAAAAAAAAAAAAAAGAAGATTCTAGAGCTAAAAGTTTCAACAAGGTCGTTTAGACCTCAGTTTTTCAAACTAATTAACTCTGGGGAAGTATGTAAGGATCTTAAGTTTTACTAACGTTTATTTATTTAAATCTTTACTATCACTTCTTATTTTCTAGTTCCGGCCAGAATTATAAGCGTGAAGGAGTTTATGCAAGTTGTCTGGCGAACGCCAAGTATTTAAGTGTGGCCTTTTGCCAAGCAGAAGAGAGGAGCAGTGAGTTCGAAGCAGGCCGCTTACCTTAGAAGTTACGCAGTTGCTATTTGCCCTTCCAGGCCAGAGTTTTAATCCTCTTGATAATTAAAAACGTATTGTAGTGTTCACAGTCTCTGTGCTACATACGCTTTCCGTTATTATAAGGCCAATCTTATTCTAAATTAAATTAGAGTTTTAGTTTATTTTGATATCTTTTAAGTTAGACCCGAATGGAGGTCTTGTATTCCGAAGTACGGAAGTCTTGTAATAAAGAAAAAACAAGGTTTGTATACCCTTCCTGTCCTGTCTACTTACTACAATTAGTGAACATAGCTTTAGTAAGCTTCTCTGTTCTAGTCCGGTCATTTAATGTTCCGATAAGGTTAGAAGAACATTGAACCTGATAATATTTGTGCAAGCATTGCGCACACAGTTATGACGTAGCACGGCTAAATTGAAGAGCAGATCAGCCGTCACGCTAACCATCGAGATTGAACTGTAGAGAATGTTCACTGTCCTGTGGCTGCCAATTCGAATCCATGACCAGTGTCAACTTAATATCGCTCGGTACACGATCGCCCCACATAGAATAACATAATCGGTGGAATAGCATTTAATGATATCGACAATTTGTTGCGAGAAACTCATTTCGACAGCCATCGGTAGTGACGAGTCTGTAGAGGCTATATGGAAGAGTTCCTAAGCAGCTGTTCAATGCAGTATTGACGCAATCAAAGCGATAGATCCAAGTGATTGCGTTTGTTCAGTATGCTTCAGAGTCGACAAGATAACAGATTCCTGTAAGTACGAACGTAACAGCCTAAAATGAACGTGTGGTGTCGGTCTGATGCATATAAAGTAATAGGCCATTTTTCTTTGCGGAGTAAGCTGTGACGGCATGTTTGAGTCCCCAACTGCACTGAATAGATATGAACTTTACGAGGTTTTCTGTTGGTTGGTGAGATTTCAATTTCTATCTTGTTTTTTGCTTTCTGTGACCGTCAAAGTGCCATGACTTTACGGACCCACTGTAATGGCGGAACACAAAAACGTCCATGCAGCTCGCTGTCGCCTTATCAACGCAGATCGAACTCCATGTAATAAGAAAGTAACACGAAGTTACATGACTACGTTATTTTCGAATGTGATTTGCGCGTATTTGTATTTTTTGATAAAAATAGACTTGTAAAAACAGTCATTATTGCTTATATTGGTAGCTCTAATTACAGCTTCAGAAAACAGGAATAAAAACTATGTTTCAGCTTATTCGTCTAAATGAGGTTAATCATGAAAAAATACATTAAGGCACTCTTTATGCTATTCAGGAATTTTATCCTTCCTTTCTACGAAGACTGGTAGCTCCCTTGTACATAACTATATTTGAAATCTTAAAGATTTAGTTAGCATCAAAGAATGTAATCGTTTATAGGTCAACGGTCTTGTGGAGCTCTAAATGTTGAACTTAGAACGCACGATAAATACAATTTTGGCACCATAAATTCTTAGGACGTAGTTTCATTAAAGATTTTTTTATACTATTGTATTCTCTTTGAATCAAAATTTTAACTCTAAAGCGTAAAATTAACTAAAGCTACTGAGTCATTTGGCTTATTACTAATTATCTAAAATTTGTTAGTATATTAAGTACCTTAGCTCCGTATAAAGGTAAAGGTCACCAAACAAAGCACCATCTAGTTGCTGCTAGCAACAAAACTAGCTCTTTTCTATAGACATGTAACCTAGAACAGAACAATGATTTACAATCACTCGGCAATATCTATACATATTAAACAATATCAATAACTTTGTTTAATGCAATATGTGATTATTAGGTATTTTAATATTAATAATCAACGACTCTTCCCCCTTCTAAGCCACCTTTTTGAGCTGCTGCATACGCTTATTCCTCATCATTTCGGCGAAGTCACTCGCTCTCTGCCGTCCTCTCTGAAATTACAGCATATATATTAGTAAGAAATATCTAGATGAATACTTCCTAATAATTAAACAAAGTGGGCAACTAGACCCTCAGCATATCGTTCTGAAGTCTTCTCTTCATGCAAGAAAACTTGCAGCAAGGTTATATTATGACTACTGACCACGGATGTTTTTACCTTTCAGAGCCTGGACTATATGTCCTACACGTTACCTACTAACTACTTTTTTATGTCGTCAAAATTTCAATAAATTATGGAGTTTAAAATTACCCTTTAAAAAGGATAGAGCGTACACCCTGTTGATTTGTTTTTCTCCTTCTTTTAATATCTGACTAGTAATAAAAATAAAATACATAATACATAAAAACTGAGCCTAATACCGGCTCTAATCTCCGAAAAGGTTAATAGTAGTATATTTGCCTATTTCAAGTAACCTATCACGCAAATGCTTACTACTGTTCTAAAGTATCGATTACTCATATATATCATTTTAGGAGTTGCAAAGATACTATAAGATCGATTAAACTGACGCTGATAATTTATCTCGTGCATGAGCATTCAGAGTGTTTCGTTATTGTATTATACATAAAGCATAAATGTTACTTTATTGAAAGTAATCCAGTCATATTTTTGATATTTTTGACATCTTACGCTGGCGAAACCCACCCCATTAATGCTTGGTTCAAAATATTCTATGTATTTTTAGACTATTGGTTCTTCCTAGGCTTTTGAATAAAGTATCCCAAGAACGGAAATCCTGTTATTTGTATGTTGCTGCATTGTTAGAGATTTTGGTTCTGTTGTGCATTTTTTTTGGTAAAAGTTTTGAAGAGAATTCTGTTAATGATTATGTGCGGCTGAGATAAATTTCATAAGCAAGCAGACATCAGATGGTTTGACTGAACCATAAACTTTGTGCTTTGCATTATTGTATGAGTGTGTTATATACTCCTATTATATATGCACTAATAAAAGAGGAGTGTATGGATCAATTGTAGTAGCATTTGAGTGTACTTATTTTGAGACACCAGTATACGATGAATGATGAAGAACTAAGCATAGTATCACATACTTCATGATTCTACTCACCTACAATATGAGTGCACTTGTCCATCTCTGTATCGAAGTATGTTTTCCGCATAGTTCACTCTGCCCCGGGAACATTCCACATCTATTATTCATCACCTTTCTCTTCGCTGGCTAGAAACAATAAATATTCATTCATAAACAGATTAAATTAAAAAAATAAACTATGTAATATTTGAAACAGAGTATCTACAGTACTTGACAGCTACAATGATATAGGTCTTTTGAATAGTAATACAGACACCTAATGATGACAATTAAATAATCCTGTCATAGGCAATCTACGAATCAGATTAACTCACTTAGTAGAATTCGAACTCCTTGTTAGAATTAACAATGAGTTATTGTTTCCTAAATATTAAGATATTGGCCGTTATTTAAACTGTGCTGTATTTGAGTTTGTGTGTTTCGTCCATTAAATGTTTTTAAAGAAGAAAGTAAGTTCTATATTAATTTCTGATATTAATCTAATACAGAAGGAGAGCAGATGTCGATCTCATATAGACGTGACAGAAATATTCAATTGGCACATATTTAGTTCAGTTAATAATTCTTTATAAGCAGTAGTGCATTCTCCATATGGAGAACAACTCATAATATGAAAAGATATGCTAATTAGGCAAGCCAAAATGTCATGCAACTTCATTCTGAATGATACAGATATCAGTCTCTCACAGAATGATGACTTTGCTCGTATATACGCAATGCTGGTACATGTTGTGCACATGCTCTCTCACATTATGTGAGATTGAGATTTGTACGCTGTATTTCAGGAATTTTAATTTTTCATATCTTCTTTGTGCATCCGTCTACTGAGAGCATCTGGGGCATGCTTTACAGATTTACTCTATTAATATGTACTTACACCTGTCTTGCAAATATAGTAACAGTAAGAAATTTAACATGACAATCAAAATAATGTATAAGCGTGCACTAAGATATTTATTCCTCTTGTTTGAGATCTAGAGTTGATGGAGTTCCTTATCTAAAGGGAAATATACGTCAGCAATACCGCCATGGCCTTATAAAAATATCTAACCCTGTTTTCCGCATATTCAGCTTGCCCGGGGAACCAACGTTCCCCGGTTTACGTTCCAAATATATAAACTATGCATGCTTTCAGGGCTTTATTTTTTTTTCTTTCTATGCTTAAGGAATTTTTAACTACTGCTTTAGAAAATAATATTTAAATCTACTAATAGAAAATTTCAACAAGCACTTTTCTCTTGCAATTTTTTATATGCTTTTTATTGATGTGCTCTAAAATATCAAAATTTTGATGTTTTGTTTAATTTCTAATTGTGCTGCTTTTTACCTTTAGTGATTATAGCACAATTTCTATAAAGGATTTAATTTCAATTATATTTCATAATGCATCATAGTGATAAACCTTTTAACTTCTTAATAACGTTTATACATTTAATTAATATTAAATTGCATTTAACCGTAATAATTAATTTTGCTTGTATTTATAGTGAATATTTGAATTTATTTTAGTTCTGCATATTATTTTTTTTTGATTTACTGTTACTTAATTTATTTCCCAAAGAGCGTTAGCCAGAAAGGCTATTGTTTCGAAGCGCATTGTCCTTTTTCACTACAAATTCCGTGTCCTCCTTGCAAATTGTTTACACTATTATCGCCCTGTCTTTATTTAAGAAAATAAATATGAAGAATCGCATTATACTGTATGGTTCTCACAACTGACAAAAACGACAGTATCTAAAGCCATCAAATTTTGAAAATTAATCTCCTCCGAGCAGGGGCATCTGAAGTCCTAATTTCAAATTTTTTTAATTTATTTCATATTTGTAAAACTTTGAATTTTTGATTAACAAACTCAACGAGTTCAGAGCGGCATTGTTCGTAAATAAATTTTTATCTCCAGTGCGGAATCTAAGAATTCTGTTTCAAATGTATATGGTACGAATACATGAATTCAATAAATAGGTAACACACAAACGTTAAAAAAAGGTTCCTTTTGGGAGTAATATAAAATCTGAGTACTTCTAGATTTTATTTTACCTTTTTTTTTTTCCTTCATTACACTCAGAAAATTTTAAGCTCCGAATTTTAATTACTAACGTAAATATTCTACTTTAATGTTAAATAATAAATTACTAACGTAAATATTCTACTTTAATGTTAATAAGTTAATGATTATATAATCAAATAAATGATTGTTTTGTATTTTTATTATAGTTTTGAAAATCACTGCCTGAAAATGGTGATTAAATTTTTTAAAAAATTATCAGATCTTGCTTAATTTTACCTTATTTTTCAAGCATCACGTGTATTAATCTTTTGAATTTTACGTTATTGTACGCAAAATTAGTTTAAATTTTGTACTTAGAGTTTTTTAACCGTTTCACAAGCCAGATGTTTGTACACGATTACGCGTGAAAAAATGCGCGAAATGCATAAAGTGCTTTAATGAGAAATATTATTCCTATTTGGCAAAACGTGGCTTTCAGATCTCTCCTATACAACGGATCCATTTATAATTAAAAGAGTTATGTGATACAACGCATAGGTTCAGTGAGTAAACCATAATCGGCCCTACTCTTTCTCGCCGAATATCGAAGACGTCCATGATGTATCATGGACCTTATAAGAAAGACTAACCAGTGGGCGGGGCGCACGTCTCCAACAGTCGGGAAGAAAGATTGGGAGATCTGTTTACTTAATCTATCCTATGACGTTCTACATAACTCTTTAATTATTAAATGTGATACGTTGTATAGGATGAGATATGGAGCCACAGTTTTTCCAAATAGGATTAATTAGCTCATTACGCACTTTTACTGCCTTTGCGCATTTTTTCATGCGTATTCTTGTACAAACTTTACTTTGGTAAAACGGTAAATCTCTAGGCCAAATTTATGAACTAATTTTGCGTACAATAACGTAAAATTGAATCAGATTGATAGTACTGATGCTTTGAAAAAATAAGTAAAATAACAAGATCTGAATAACTTTTTTTAATTTAATGACCATTTTAGGCAGTGATTTTCAAACTATAATAGCATTACAAAACAATCAGTTATTTGATTATATCATCATTAACTTATTACTTTAAAGTGGAATATTTATTTTAGTGGTAAAGTTTACCTTAGGCGCCCCTTTTTTTTCTCTTCGCCCGTAAACCACATACATTTGAAAACAGCATATCTTTAGAATTTCCGCACTGGAGATAAAACTATTATTTTCCGTACAGTGCTCTCTCTGAACCGTTGAGTTGTTTAATCAAAAATTCGTTAAAGTTTTACAAAATGAATAGATTAAACAAATTCGAAATTCAGCGTCCAATGCCCTGTTCGGGTGTAGGATTACATTATTCAAAATGTGATGGCTCTAGATACTGTCTTTTGTCACATTGCGAGAACATACATGTATTCATGCAAATTCTTCATTATTTATTTCTTTAATAATACAGGACGATAATATTTGGTACAACAATTTGCAAGGAGACACGGACATTATAGTAAAAAGCTCAAAATGCGCTTCGAACTAAGCCTTTTAGGTAACCGCCCCTTTGGGCTAATAAATTAAATTAACAGTAATAAAAAAAATCTTATCAACTAAAAATAAATTAAAAAATAATTACCATAAAATACAAGTAAAATTAAGTAAGTTAAATACCAATGTATATTCGAATTAAATGTATAAACATATTAAGAGCAAAGGTTTATCATATGGTGTATTATGAAATATGATTAAAATAAAATTCTCTTGTAGAAATTGTGCTATAATAGTCATCTATAATTTTAAAGAAGCAGCACAATTTAGAATTTTAAACAAACTTTCAAAAATTCGTTTTAAATATTTTAGTATTTTTTTTTACTTATATACACCAATAAAAAGCATAAAAATTTCAAGAGAAAAAAATGCTTGTTTGAAATTTTCTATTAGTTCAGATTTAAAATTATTTTCTAAAAGAAGTATTTACAAATTTCCTTACAGCATAGGAAAAGCTAAAAACATATCCAGCCCTGAAAGCATGCAATAGCTTTATAATTATTTGGAACATCATTTATGCTTGATAAATATGCTAAATTTTTAAAAATCAACCTCAATTTCAAAAGCAAAAATATGGAGAAATTCTAATTTGAGAAATGAAGCGCGACAACCAGCTTTTTCTTGACAATTATACACGCTGCAATATGCAACCACTGTTAAATTTCTGCAAGTCGTCCCTACTCGTTCGGATGTGATCAAGGTGACAGCCGGGAACGTCTCAGACGAGGGAGAAAACCCATTTGGGTTAGTCTATTTCTTATAAGGTCCATGATAATCATAAAGGGCTGTACACTTGGAAGCACGCGTGAAGAGGAAGAAAGAGAAGCTATTTCGTACTTTGGGTACTGAAAGCTAGATATTAACAAACAATCATCAAAAGACTTTGAGAGAAATTTGATAAAGATATGTCTTGTAACATTGAGTCTTCTTTTTCAAATAAGTGCACAAGTCTCAGCAAGAAATTATTTTGCAACGAAACAGTGTTACAGCGAATTATTTTTTGCCATTATATGTTTATTTGAGAAGCTCATTTTAAGTTAAAAATGTTATGTAAGTTTTGGGAAAATAAATGATAAATTTATAGGCCAATACTCACTACTAGCTTCAGGTGATAAACTGAGATCTTCGTAACAAGACCAGACAGCAACATCTTTTTAAAATTATGATTTAAAAAAAATTAAAATTGTTTTTTAATTTTCGAAATTTTAATTGTAGCTGTTTGAAATGTTAGAGTGTAATCTGGTGTTTTCAGATTTCAATTTCTTTTTTTTTATCCCTTTTTTAAGGAGATATAGGAGGAATAGAAGCATTACTAAAATTTGAGAGTATGGCAATAAAAGCTATGAAATGCTTTCAATCTTGTTTTCGTATAATCTGTAAGTAAACTCATAGTAAGGTTTACGTTTTGTTTCTTTTCTATGTTTTCTCAATTTTAATTTGGCGCCCTTTCAAAATTTCATTAGTTTCTTAGCGTACTGTTCTAATATTAAGCTATATTACGTTTTATTTATAAAAATCAAGATAGCTGAAATTTTAGAAATACAATAATCCTCATACTTTTACAACCGTTTATCTTTGCAAGTGATATTTTAACCATTCTAAGACAGACTGAAATTATACATAAGAAAACTTAGTTACTTGTATTTTTCCCACCTTCTTGGTGTGGTGGTATGCACGCTGGGCGCGTACTCCAGAGGTCCGCGGTTCGATTCCCGGGGAACGCGTTGCTAATTTTTCATTTTGCCTGCTTCCAAAAAAATAACTAATGTCTCTACAGTGTTGCCCGAACTAAAAGGGTGTTGGATGATAGTTCTCCTCTCCCAGGATTTGGTGATTGGGTCTCCTAGAAACCCCAGTCGACCTCTAAAAGGAGGAGTATATAAGGTATTTCTCCCACCTTCTTGACATGCCTTCATGATGTGGTCGTCTGCACGCTGGGAGCGTATTCCAGAGGTCCGTGGTTCGATTCCCGACCAAGGCGTACCTCATTTTTCATCTTGCCTGCTTCCAAAAATACCTAATGTTTCTACAACTTTACAAATTGTTGTATAATAAACAAGGAAATTCTAATTTAAACTTACCACTGTATAAGGTTTAGAGTGAATTACTCCATAAAAGTGCCAAAGTTCCTCCCAAAACTGAGGGTAGTTTTTGATCGACCAGTCATGGAAATCCCAGTATGAATCTGCAATAAATATATGAAATATATATATATATATATATGTATGTATATATAATTATATATATATGTATATATAATATGTATATATAATTCTTTTGAAATCAATACAGAATAATATTACCTTCGAAAGAAAATAAATATAGTATTTACTGATATGGGGCATTCTTTTATCGAAGAAACGAGAAACGTATTACCATTAAATTTGTAGATTTTTTATTATCGTCAAATCTGTAGAATACAGCCAACTTCCTATTAACAGTAGCGTATTAATTGTGTTGCGGATTAATCGAGCCATGTTTAAATTAAGAAGTTAAGTTTGTTTATTTTGAATTTTTAAAAAATTATCACTACAAACCAATAGTGTAAAACAAAACGGTCTATGGAAAATACAATATTTACGTTGTTCAAGTTATCTTGCAAATATTGTGCTTTAATACCATTTTGACATAGTTTTTTGTTCTAATGATATTCATTGTTCTGTTATTTAAAATGTCCTGCTTTGTTTTGAATACAAATTTAGTTTACGCAATCAAATAAGCTCCTTTTCTAGATTAAAAAATCTGGAGAATAAATGATTATAATTTACTATATGCTTGAAGATATTATATGCAGTAAATTATAATACGGATTACTTCTCTTTTATGTGTTTTTTTCTGCTTCCAGATTAATCTAATTTTCAGTTAACTGTTGATGTTGTTCCTGGTACTGGTCCGGTTAATCCGGTTAATTGGTAATCGACTGCATGCAGTTTCTGTATTACAGTCCTATAATAATAATTAACTTTTCCCCTATATTTCTATATATGTATCAATGGTTATTCCCATTTAAATACCACAAATACATTTATAAGCACTGTAAATAAGCTTTTTAATTAAACGCAGAAAGATTATGCAATTTTAATATGTATTAGAATTTGTTTTACATAAAATATGCACATTTGCATAAACAAGAAAAAAATTCTTTTGCATGAATAAAAGGAATATGTAACAGAAAACTAGCTGGAAAATAAAAAACATAACTCCTTTATTGCAGATAAGGCAGAATTTGCAAATATTGTATTGGAAATATATTCAATAAGTTCCGTGGTTCGACCTTTGGGAAACACACAATTGGTTTTTCCTCTGAAGTGATACAGACATGCGTATTTCGAGATACTTCACGTTTCATCCCTTCCATCGAAATTATGTGAATACTATAGAAAAAACATCACATGAACATTTTTGTTTTAACATATAAAGATTACTGTTAGTATGTTAATTGCTGTAGCAAATTCTAACATCTTTAGTAAATTGACTGTTTAGGCATCTTACAATTAATTACAATAGAAAGCATTTCAAAATCAATAAGGCTGTTGTTTTTGCTTTTTCATCATTCATATGTTAAACGGAGTACCAGTTTTGAGGTCATTCAAGCAGTTTTGTCATCCAAACTCGACAAAATGTTGCAAAAGCGCCCTAATTTTTAACCCATCTTTGCACTCGACATGTCTTTCTACCTAAGATTAATCATGCCTGGCCTTCTGTTTAAAATGAAAGTCGTGTGGCTCTTCATTCCACTTTCGGTAAAAGTAGAATTACATTGTTCTACATTTGAAAACTTATTTCTTCCCTTTTTGTAAAGTTTTTAAGTGTTTCTTACGTATTTCAGGTTACCGAATCCAAAGTAAAACTTTACAAAAATCAAACTAAAAATTATAAAGGAAATGCAGCATGTTTTGTTCTTATTCATTTTCATCCAATTTCAAGGAATCAAGGTACTTACAAGAAGCTAAAAGATTACTTCAAAATAAAAGGTAAAGCAAAAGGAAAATATATTACACATAAACGGGTGTCTTAGAAACGTTCCAAGTTCGCGAATCGCAGAAACACATCTTTCTAAATGCGCGTACAGTTTATAAATACAAATACAGTTTTTTAGTGAAGGAGAGTTTTTTTTTAATTTTCCATGAATGTTCTGCACTTTTCCCTTAGGAATTTGCATTTTAAAATTAAAGCAGTTATTTTATGGCCTAGATCAGGGGTTTCCAACGGGGTCAGATGACCCCCCCCCCGAGGATCGATGAAATAATTGTAGATAAATAACTAAATCTGGAAGGCGTTTTTATAATAAAAGGTAAAGTTTTCCATTCTAGGGAAAAACAAGGAATTATCTGAAAAGGACAAGTAATGATTTTTTTAAATTCTTGACTCCTGTATACTAGATAGATACATGCATATTATTTATCTAGATAGATCCATACATGTATACTATATCTAGAAAGAATTAAAATGTGCATATAGCAATAGCTGTGGAGTGAGTGACATCAGAATATTAAAATTATTTTTATATAAATTATTATTTAGCCAGGATTTGTGCATAGAAATAATAGTTTAGTTTTTTATTAACAACTAACATGAGAACTAACATAAGAAGATCATAATAACAACCCGTGTAGTTCATTAAATATGAACATATTATGGGCCATCAAGTATGTTTTGTTGCTCCCCATTGCGAATTACAATAGCTTATGTTCTTAATACTGATCGGTAAAATTTAATGTACATTGGTAAGCAGTGTGTTGCTGATGTAATTTCATCGCTGTGTTAACATGCTGCATCGAAACTCCAGTAGTACAGAATAAGATTCTGAGAAGGATTGTAAATGCTCATTATCTGATTAGAAACAAATAGATTCACGATGAGTTGAAAATCGAACCTATAATGGACCATATTATGAAACTTATTCAGCATTTCTTCAAAACTGGACTTAGCTGTTATGTTGCAAAATTTTCAGAAGTTCTTAGTTACCAGATCATTCCAGAAGATAATTTAACCAGGCCATTTGCTACTCGCATGCTTAAAGAACACAACTTCATAACCTAGCTTTGACTGACTTTATTTACTTGTTTTCTTGCGAGATGCGACTTTTGTCTCTCGTAGCTTTCTATCTGATTGACATATGTGCAGTAAGGGGGCAAGGGTCTTCTCATTTTTAGCTCACTTTCTTGACCGTTTTTGGAATTTTACCTTCTAGCTAGTTAAAGTCATGTGCCCTCAGAGGCTTAATTTCCTAGCCTAGTTTATTTCAAATATATTTTTATATTAGCAATTCCATACATTATAATTTCACATCCAATTTCAATGTCACATAAACAATATCATGATCCTTATCCACGCTGCATCGTTCACTCAGCATGTTGCCGATATAATGCATATCGCCAATGTAATGTATTCTTAACATAACATGCGTCCTTAATGCAGCCTATTGCCGATATAAACTGTTCTACGTTTCAGAACGTTTTACATTTAAAAGCTAATTTTTTTAAATCGAATAATTTTGGTTGTTACTTCGCCGATTAACTAAAGACACACATTTTGAAACTCTTCCAAAATTATTATATACGCGTTGTAATTAAAAAAATTAAATTAGAGAATGTTAGAAAAACATGCTATAACGCCATATTCCAGTTCAAAGTTGTATCGCAAATGTAACATATAAAAAGCCGAAATTTTATCTTGTAATATGTTTTATGCTTAAGAAGTTCGCACTAATCATTAGAAAACTTACTTTAAGAAAATGGATTATTTTCTTTATTTTCCAAAAAACGTTTTTACAGAATGTACTTATTTTCTCAATTTGAACTAAAAAACAAAAACTATTTATCTTATTGACAATGATTTTGTTTTCTGTTATCATCAATGCTTCTCCAACCATTTGCTACCATCATGATGGTTGGCATGACCTTCTGACGAATTAGCCATTAAGAGACGAGAAATGTCACTGTTTCAATCCATTTTCTTTCATGTTTGATTTAGAATTTGTAACGCGGAAAAGAGCCAATTAGATTAGAAAATCGAACAGTAATAATCTAGATTTTCTGTCTCTTTTAAAACTGTACTGTTTCGTCCATTCTTGATGATATGAATTGTTTTTGATAAAATTAATTAATGATTCCTTAGTTAAGGAAAGATTTGAAGAAAAACGTGTTAAAAAGCTATAAAAACATAGATAATTTTGCGACTAATGAAATAAATTCTAAAATAACATAGTTAAAATTAAAATCAAAAGAATTAAGCGTTAAATTAGTAATTTAATTGAACGTTAAATTCAGTGTGGATTGCTTTAATTCAGATTAAAAATAAAATTAAGTGGATTAGTAATTAGTAACGTAATAAATTAAATATTCTGTTACTAGTAAGTTGTTCTGAAGTACGAAAAAAATAAAATGCTGTAGCTTACGTTTTCCGTTTAAGAAAGTTTTTCTATTCGAGGTCCATTGGAAAACTTCTTATGGAAGTTCTGCATTAATTAAAAGAATACCATAAAACTGTCATTTGCATATGGGTCTGTTTCTCGCCATGAAGTATCCTACAGATTTCCATTAATTCCACCTTTGCCTGACCTAATTACGAATAAAGAATCTTTCGAAATTAGGTCAGGAAAGAAAAAAAAAAAAAAAAAATTCTATTTTTCAAAAATTATTTCTTAAACAGTCTAAGGTGTTTCCCACAAGTTTATGCATGAGTATCTATGTTATCATTACACGAGATCTTTTTTTTTTTCAGTTGAGCATATTGGCTCAAAGTAGCCAAAACGATTAAGATCACAGATTTACATATATTTCTAGTTAGTTTAGAACAAGAAATGTTTCTTTATTTTTCGCGTGATTATCAGGATAATTAAATCAACCGAGTCTGAAAAACATACCACCGATAGATTCAAAACTGAAGTAGTCGATCAGTTAACACGATAGCAAAATGGAAACCAGACGTGATTTTTATTTAAATATTTAAGTTTTAAAACAACTATTAACAAAGAGTGCTAATTTATGCTCCAACACTAGTTTAATTCTCATATCTCATTCAGATAAAGTTATGGTAATCAAAATTCAAGGTTACTAACTGGATTTTTTAAGGCTAAAGCCCCAAAAGAGAAATATTTCTTCAGTGCTGTTAGAGTCAGAGAATTCTTTTGGTGTTCTAGCTAGCTTAACACCACCAGACAAGCCACCCAGACAATATGAC